AAATTGGCCTTCATTTTCTTTTGCAGTTGTACATTCAAATACATTTCTTGCAAATTGAATCATCAAGTAGGCAAGCTTCCTTTTTCCATTATTGTCGAGGTGCATACCATGGCATTTGAAGTGCTGTCTATCAAAGAGGTCAAAATCAATAATATGTATGTTGTTAATACGAGCAACCAACTCCCGGATGTAGTTATTTGCCAAAGCTATGTTGTAGTGTATGACATCATCAGAAGATTTACCGTAACGAGTAGGGATGGTTGTTATACATACTGGTCTGGTTTTACTAAGTTTTTTCAATTCACCTTCCATTTTATCATAAACAACACGAGGAGAGTTCACAGATAAATCATTTGTACCAGCCAGCAAAATTAAAGGTCTCTTCTGAGATTTAGCAGCTTGATTGTATATGAATTAAATTCCCGCTCCTGGTTTGACTAGCCCATCCATCAGGACTTTACCCTGGCTGCACTTAGCAACAATCTCTGGAACCCCTCTTCCTTGGCTCTACTTTGGCTTACTACTCTTCCTTCACCACTTCCTACGTCGCGGACCTGTTTCCTTCCCTTCCAATAGCATTTTAGGATTGCAGATACCTTAATCTAATCGTCATAAACAGTTCCCACACTCCAGACAGCTCGCCTTGACTACTTCCTTCACCACTTTCTACGTCACGGGCCTCAAGGTAGTGTCGTCATTTGATTATGATCCATACAGTTTCTGTTCTAATATCTGTGGAATAATGCTATCAGCTATTTCTTTATCTACTGCATTCAAAAGTCAACAGCTGATCATATACCTTTGTTTATGTGTCAAATACTGCTTCCATAAGGATTACATTGAAACTTTGATTCCCAGTGGGGCGGATTCCATAGAGACTTTTTTAACGCCATATAGATGTTGGCACTCACCGATATGGTCTCTATCACCATACAAAATTTGAAAACGATTGATTCAGCCGTGTAGGAGGAGTTTGCGTATTACGAAATGCATAAGAGTCGACGTATAAGAGCTTCGCTCAACTAGGTGGCGTTCGCAGAGGCATCCACAAAATTGAGCGGAGTCATCAAGGTTTCATATTATATTGTTTTTGTCTTACTGCAGTAAAAACAGTATTTTTTCATGCATGCGCTGCGGGTCTAAAGTAGCATTTTTAATATTTAGGGAGTAAAAATCGTTTTTAGCCTCTATGGAGTAAAAATCAGCTGTTGTCAACTCAGTTGTAAATTTCGATTGTAAACGATTGCATGTATCGAAAATATGTATCGATTTGTGCTTCGTAATCATTTTTAACATATTACAGTCTACAGTCTCTTCCCGTAGCATTTTAGCATTGCAGAGATACATTAATCCATTCCCAAATTCAACACTGCTCACATTTACTACTTCCTTCACCACACCCTACGTCGTGGACCTGTTTCCCTCTCTTCCCATAGCATTTTAGGATTGCAGATACATTAATGTAATTGCCAAAGACAGTTCCCACACTCTGCGCTGTTAACCTTACTACTTCCTTCACCATTTACTACGTCATTGGCCTGTTTCCTTCCTTTCTCATAGCATTTAAGTATTACAAATTCACTTATCCATCTGCTCAAACGGTTCCCCCACTCTGCACTGCCAGCCTTTACTACTTCCTTCACCACTTACGTCGTGGACCTGTATTCATCGCTTTCCATAGCATTTTAGTATTTTAGATACGTTAATCTAATTGCAACAAACATCCCCACTGTCCGTACTGCTAGACTTTACTACTTCTTTCACAATTTCCTATGTCTTGGGCAAGCTTCCATCCCTTCTCATAGCATTTCAGCATTGCAGATACATTAAAACTGCTACAAACGGTTTCCAGTTCCCACACTCCACACTGCTCACCTTACTACTTCTTTCACCTGTTCCTACGTTGCGAATCCGGATCTGTTTCCCTCTCTTTCCATAGCATTTTAAGATTGCAGATACCTGAATCTAATCGTCATAAACAGATCCCACACTCCGAACAGCTCGCCTTTACTACTTCCTTCGCCACTTCCCACATCGCGGACCTGTTTTCCTCCCTTCCCATAGCATTTTAGGATTGCAGATACCCTTATCTTATCGTCATAAACAGTTCCCACACTCCGGACAGCTCGCTTTGACTACTTCCTTCACCACTTCCTACGTCACGGGCCTGTTTCCCTCCCTTTCCCATAGCATTTTTGATTGCCCATACCCTTATCTAATCGTCATAATAGTTCCAACACTCCGGACAGCTCGCCTTGACTACTTCCTTCACCACTTCCTACGTCGCGGACCTGTTTCCCTCCCTTCCCATTACACTTAAAGATTGCAGATACCTTAATCTAATCGTCATAAACAGTTCCCGCACTCCGGACTACTCGCCTTGACTACTTCCTTCACCACTTCCTACGTCGCGGACCTGTTTTCCTCCCTTCCCATAGCATTTTAGGATTGCAGATACCCTAATCTAATCGTCATAAACAGTTTCCACACTCCAGACTGTTCACCTTTACTACTTCCTTGACCTCTTCATACGTCACGAACCTCAAGCTAGTGTCGTCATTTGATTATAGTACCTGGGGACCGAGCTTTGCTCGGGGAAAATCATTAGTTCACTCTGAAAGCACCGTAGTATTGGAGATACATAAATCCACACATCTACATCCTACACAATTTCCTACGTCATGGACCTGTTTCCCTCCATTCCATTGAATTTAAAGATTGCAGATACCTTAATCTAATCGTCATAAACAGTTCCCACACTCCGGACTACTCGCCTTGACTACTTCCTTCACCACTTCCTACGTCGCGGACCTGTTTCCCTCCCTTCCCATAGCATTTTAGGATTGCAAATACCTTTATCTAATCGTCATAAACAGTTCCCACACTCCGGACAGCTCACCTTGACTACTTCCTTCATCACTTCCTACGTCGCGGACCTGTTTTCCTCCCTTCCCGTAGCATTTTAGGTTTGCTGATACCTTAATCTAATTGTCATAAACATTTCCAACACTCCGGACAACTCGCCTAGACTACTTCCTTCACCACTTCCTACGTCGCGGACCTATTTTCCTCCCTTTCCATAGCATTTTAGGATTGCAAATACCTTAATCTAATCATCATAAACAGTTCCCACGCTCCAGACAGCTCGCCTTGACTACTTCCTTCGCCACTTCTTACGTCACGGACCTGTTTCCCTCCCTTCCCATAGCATTTTAGGATTGCCCATACCCTTATCTAATCGCCATAAACAGTTCCCTCACTCCTGACAGCTCGCCTTGACTACTTCCTTCACCACTTCTTACGTCGCGGACCTCTTTCCCTCCCTTCCCATAGCATTTTAGGATTGCCCATACCCTTATCTTATCGTCATAATAGTTCCAACACTCCGGACAGCTCGCCTTGACTACTTCCTTCACCACTTCCTACGTCGCGGACCTGTTTCCCCTCCCTTCCCATTGCACTTAAGGATTGCAGATACCTTAATCTAATCGTCATAAACAGTTCCCGCACTCCGGACTACTCGCCTTGACTACTTCCTTCACCACTTCCTACGTCGCGGACCTGTTTTCCTCCCTTCCCATAGCATTTTAGGATTGCAGATACCCTAATCTTATCGTCATAAACAGTCCTCACACTCCGGACTGCTCGCATTTACTACTTCCTTCATATCACTTCCTACCTCACGGACCTGTTTCCCTCTATTCCCATAACATTTTATGATTGACTTTACTACTTCCTTCACTACTTCCTACGTCACGGACCTGTTTCCTTCCCTTCCCATAGCATTTTAGGATTGCAGATACCTTAATGTATTCGTCATAAACAGATCCTAGACTTGGCACTGCTACCCTTGACTACAATGTATCGAGTAATCTTAAGTATAATCTTTGCTCAATATTAACAAGTGATGTTTTTCCTTTTGTACTGTATTTGTAATTTCCTAGTATACTGTGGGTAGTTGGCTTATAATGAACACATGCTAAAACTTCAAATCTTTTGTTTACTTTTTACTTGTTATTTAATTCAGCCAACATGGTTACCTAGCAACCCATAAGACTAATGTTAAGAAAATGTGATTTTCAGTTTCATTTTTCTACGGATTCCTGAGAGACTTTTTTAACGCCATATAGATGTTGGCACTCACCGATATGGTCTTTATCACCATGCAAAATTTGAAAACGATTGATTCAGCCGTCTAGGAGGAGTTTGCGTATTACGAAATGCATAAAAGTCGACGTATAAGAGCTATGATTAAACTGAATTAGTTGTATGGCATAACTTTGGGGGACCTTGAGAAAATCTATAACATTGAAATTCATGAACAATTTCAGGCTAAGACTCTAAGAAGAATTATTGCAGGGTGCACCCTGGTTCATATCAAACAATAAAATCTTTCAGAAAATATTTCAAAACTAGCTATCAGTTACCTAAAGAATAAATTACAAATCAAAAGTGATAAGTATCAAGCAAAACTCAAAAACCATTTTAACAGTCTGGCTGTTAAAATGCTGGACAATAGTGACTGAGTAAACAGAGTATAAAGTGTAGTTCATGTTTGGACCTAAAATACAGATTATTTGTTTGAAATGAATAATTCATTAACTATCATAGCAAGAGTTATTGATGGACAGGTGCTTGCATCCACCCACCTCTGTTAATCATTGATAAGATTTTTCTTATTGTTATGGAATTGAACAAATTGTAAAATAAATTCAAATATAAAAAAATAACTCTGATCTCAACAATACAATCACTGAGAATTTTAAATAATAAATCAATACTTTGAATCAGTTTTGGTAGCTGTTCTTGCTAACATTTCTTGCTTTAGGTAAATCTTTTGTAAAAGAGTAACTTGAGCCGCCTTTACTTGAGGCCAGTAGGCAGGCTGGTTACCTCAGTGCAGATGATCTGCCTGCCCATTCACCTTGTCTAAACATAGCTTTTGTAATATTTTATAGGAATTGAATTATGTTTACTTATAAAAGCTATTGTTATATCAGGTTTACAACAGAGAGGAGTGGAGGGGAAGAAGTCCCCGGGAGACTCCAGTCATGTACACTCCTGTCACAAAAGTGGTCCTCTCCAGGACTGAGACCGAACCTTGCTATACACACGAGGACTGTAGTTTACGGGTCAGAGAGATGCAGAATATCCACATGGATGAGGAAGGAGAGCCTGACATCAAATACCAGTAAATATATTTTAAGGTATTTTTGTAGTTATTTTATTAAAGTCTGAAAAAACAACTTTGTGGAAAATATTTTATATTTAATCATTATCATTATTACTTTACGACGGCAACTCCATAGATTAAAAATACTCCCTTATAATGATAAATGTAAACATTTAAAATAGAAAGCCCTCACTGACTCATTTGGCTGAAATTTGGTTTACTGTACTTGTTATTCAGGTTACAAATTAATAGGAAAATTGACAGTATTCGTAATGATTTTACCAAAGGGTTGCACTCAAGAATCCCTTCCAATGTCATCCTTATGGAAATTCAATTTTATATTTTTACCAAAAGAACTTATTTATAACGTCTCTTTTAAAATGTTTGTGTTTTAAAATTTTTACCAAAATTGAAATATTTTTAAGTTGATCGGTTTTTGTAACCAAATATACCTACTTCTAAAGTGTTCTGTGGTTGGATTTTATGTATTTTGATACTTCTTTTAAATACTACAGCTTATTTTTGTAAATTTTATTTTTTTGTGTAATTTATTTTTATATGATCTTTAGATTCGCATGTTTAGCTTATAATTATAATTTTTCTTTATTAAAAAAATACAGATCTTGGATTTATACCTAACTAGCAGAGTACCCGTCCTTCGTACGGGGTTGGCATATAAGTATAAAATGTTTATTGCAGTTATGCTCAAGCTTTCTGTTTGCAATGGGCAAGGACACAGTTTGATAACATTTGCTTCTTTATATTTAAGGTATACTATAGTATTACACATCAACCATAGCCATAATGTTCTACCACTAAAAAAATATCAAAAATTCGCAAAATATCACCAACTATTCATAAAATTAAAAACATAAACATAACTGTAATCAATCCTTCTTTGACAGTTCTCATTGCGTATCACAGTTTTTAATGCTTAGTTCAAATTATATTAGCTGTTTTCATAAATGCAAAAAAAAATTGTCCTGCACTCTGTTGGTAAATCCTATAACTTGTTAATGCTTTTGCATATCATAGAACAAACCTTTTTATTTGAAACAGCTGACTAAATTATTTTATTCCCTTTAAATATGAATAGGTACTCATAAGGTTAACATGGGGAACTACAGAGCCACTGGGGCGGAGCCCGAAAGGATTTTTGAGATAAGAATATGCCTATATGTTAATCGGGAATGTAAGCTATCATCATGCTAAATTTCAGCCCAATCCGTCCAGTAGTTAATGCGTGATTGATCTTCAAACAAACAAACAAACACCCAAACTTTCACATTTATAATATTAGTAAGATAAATGTACAAAATACCTTCTCTGTCACCTTTTTGGTAGCGTTTGGACACCTTCTCATTTGGAAAAAGATTTTTGCTCACTTTATGCTATCAGCTATTTAATCTATGGATGGTCCCCCAACAATTGTAACGGGTACAACACTAAACAACTTTTAAAGACTAAGATCATGGACTTATAGACCACAGTGATACACGATACAACTATATCCTTACCAATATTCAAAACCAAGAAATGCTTAAGCCGACAACAGACAGTTCAATGTAAATCAGTGAATTGATTGTCTGAATTGTGTTTGTCAGTTCAAAATTGTCCATGACACCATTGGCAATGTTTATGATCAATTCAATGCTTTAATATGGAAGCGAAGCCAAGGGGTTGTGATATCACTCACTCTTGTTTGGAGATCACTCCATCGTCGGATGCGTAGTCGTAGTACACTAAACTACATCACTTATTCATACTAAATAGTACATATACAACACAAAACACAACACGACACGAAAACATTAAAGCACGTGCAAGGCTAAAAAACTGAAGACCGACTGATCGAGATTTATCTTATCACTGCAAGAGGAGGTGGACGACTGGAACAGCTGATAACACGTGTACCAACTTAGCTGCTCAATGCATAGGCTTATGCTGTTTGATTTGTATTATTTTCTCAAAAACGAGGTTGGTTGATGAATTAGTCTGGATTAATAACTAAGTTAGGTTATTCGGCTGTTCTGGTGTAGATGTGGAAGTTTTCAATACAATTAAGTTTACGACCTTTGCTGCCAATAAGGAATATTTATAAACTATTGATTTCAGATTGGCCGTGGCAATATTATGGCAATGGTGGTATTCCTTTGTCATGGAGCTGACAACTTACATTGAAGGTTATTGCTAGTTCTGTAACTTCTGTAAGATGAATTACGTAACTAAATAATATAGTAACCTAGTAAAATAAACTATAGGTAGTCTACATTTCTCGCCTCAGGCATTTGTTCACGGATGTGATTGGGGCCCTTTTGCAGTCTAAGAATGACCCACAAGTCTCTGGTCAGGTATATGTCAGGGTGATGCCAACTTAATGCCTACCCCACTTTCTTCTGTTCTGTTCTGGGCCGTGATGCAACTGACTTTGGCCATGGCAGCAGTCAGAGTGTTGTCACTGTGTCGGGAAACTAGTCGGAAGGAGAGGTGGAGGCAATGTCAGAATTTGTCACTTAACCCTGCATCCGGTAACTACAAACATCAAGAATCAAGAATCAAGAATATTTATTTGCCATTCTTGTTGTATTGATGTTGTTGCCATTCTTTCCATTATTGTCGAGGTGCATACCATGGCGTGTGAAGTGCTGTCTATCAAAGAGGTCAAAATCAATAATATGTATGTTGTTAATACGAGCAACAGTGTTGATACTCTGTACTGGCAGGCCAATTTTTACTGTAGGCTATGTACATAGGTTACTTTAGAGCTGTATAAATTGTGTTCTACCATACATAAGTATCTTACATACTAAAAAAAACTTTTGTAAAACTTACGACAGCTAGCCCGGCCATACTACTGGATCGAATTACACGCAGTTGGTTGGTACCTACCAAATGAAAGATATTTTCCTGTAGATGTGCAGAATCCATTTATAAATTAAAATAGGCTCAAAAATAAGCACGAAAAATGAATTTGAAATAGAAAATACCCCCGCCGCAGCAAACCTGCAGACTAAGCGAATTTCAACATGTCTCATACATTTTTACTAAAATATTTCCATAAATAAGACATACAGTATTTATTTCCAATTCAAATAACATTAGATTTAACGAGTGCTTAGGTTTGCTGCTACGGGGAAGGTTGTTGTGAATAACTGAACCTTTTTAGAAAATAAGGCTTTAATAAACTTATATTCTTACATAGCTGGAAAGGTAAACAAATCTCTAATACAAAAAACAAGTAAGGCCAGGCGCACACAGGCGATTTTGAGTCGCGCAACAGTTGCCCGACTAAAATGTTCAACATTGTTTTAAATTGGAGTGCGCACACAAAGAAAACAGTCTGGGGACAGTCGCGCAACTGTTCCCGGACCCAATTTGCCAGCGACTGCTCTGCGACTGAATTGTTGCGGGACTATCGCTCCTGGTTTGGTATCCATTGAAACGAGTGTAGATGCGCACACATGCAACTAAATAGTCGCTGTGTCGCCCAGTCTCACCCCAGGAGTTCAACTACTCGTGGCCAGAACTGTCACTAGTGTTTGCTCACTTGTTGTTGTGTGTGTGAAGTTTTTAGAAAATTACATGTATGAGTGTGCGTGATGAGGATGTCGAACAATTATTTGATGAAGTTGAGAAGAGGTTGATACGAAATTGCTGGTCTCACAAGTGTTAACAGTTCATCAAAACTCCCGACACTCATTCTTGAATATTTGAAAAACTTCTCTGGGTGTTCTCTTAAGTCATTGTACAAAATGGAACTGTCCTTTCACAAGTCGCTCACTATATATGGGATGAACCACGAACCCAGTATCTTCTCTTTTTCTTTCGCACGCGAAACTTCAGCAACAAAGCACATACAACGGCTGTATCATTGAAATCCATTCGGAACGCTGTAACGAATGTATTTCCAACACGGTCTCAAACTAGATTCACGACTAAAAAGTTGCCTGTGTGCGCACTCCAGCTCAACTGTCGCTAGACTTCAGAGTCGCGGAGATTAGTCGGGCAACTGTTGCGCGACTCAAAATCGCCTGTGTGCGCCTGGCCTAAATAAATACTTCAGCTGATTACTAAGAACAGTAATTCATAACATTCTCCCCCTCAAAATTTAAACAATGTAATCAGCGAGGTAACTTGGTGGTTTTCTTGATCTTTTCGGCCTTTCTAGAGGTTGGTTTTCTTCAGAATCTTGTTCAGGAATGAAGTTCGGTTGATTATCATCATTTGGATAATCATCATGGTCTTGAATATCAAATGGAGTGACATTCTGTTCTGGATTCACATTTGGTTCTGGATTGATGTTCGGCTCTGGAATGTTATGTGGTTGTGATTCATCTGCCACCAGTTGAGGATTATCTTTTAGCGTTGGAAGGCCTTGGTTTTCTAGTAGACTTACATCCCCCCTTGGAGATAGGTGCTTGAGGGATACAGTTGACTTTCTTCCATCATTGTGTTTAACCAAGGCATAATGAGGATTAGCATCCATCAGCTCTACTTCCTCAACTAAAGGATCAAATTTTGATGGTCGAACATTTCTTTTTAAGAATATCGGTCCTGGTTTCATGAGCCAAGCTGGTAGTGAGGTGCCACTGAGGATGAATGAAAAACCTTTCATGTGGCGTACTGTTAGTCAAACTGTTAGTGGTGGCTATTCCTCTTTCATGAAGGTAGTCTCTGAGTTCTTTTGAAAGAAAAGATGTCCCTCTGTCTGAATGAATGTAGTTTGGCATTCCAAATATTGAAAATAGATTTTCTAAACAGCGAACCACTGTGTTTGAGGACATATCACTGCATGGATATGCAAAAGGGAAGCGTGCATATTCATCGTATTGTCAATAGATATCGATTTTGTGTGCAAGATGGCAAAGGACCCTTATTAAAATCTACATTAAGTCGCTCAAAAGGTTTTGTGGCCTTGATAAGGTGAGCATTTGTAGTTTTATAGAAACGAGGTTTAATCTCTGCACACATTGGGTATTTGTTTGTCATTGTTTTAACATCCTCAACCGAGTAAGGAA